GGATAGACGGGGGAGGGAGGGAAGGAGGGAGAGAGAGAGAGAGAGAGAGAGAGAGAGCCTATGACAAATACTAAAAAAAAATAAAAGAAAAAGAAAGATAAAAAACAAAGCAAAACAGAATTTCAGTCTCTCTTGAAGTCCTCTGAGGTGCCTCAAAGGAATTTTGCAGGGATTATTTTCACCCTAAAGAAACTGTGGCTTGCTGGGTGGTGGTACACGCCTTTTATCCCAGCACTCAGGAGGCAGAGGCAGGCAGATCTGTGAGTTTGAGGCCAGCCTGGTCTACAGAACTCATTCCAGGACAGCCATGGCTACACAGAGAAACCCTGTCTTGAAAAAAACAAAAAGGAAGGAAGGAAGGAAGGAAGGAAGGAAGGAAGGAAAGAAAGAAACCGAGGCCCCAAGAGACCTAAGACTACACAACTAGTCTATGCACGGTGACTCCAAGTTTTTCTACCGTCTCTATTCCACTCCTCCTTTATGATTTTGTTTCATGTCCATTAGAAGAAAAAAAAAGAGAGAGATAATTTCTGCTTCTTCAAGAAAGGCTAACGAGAGGCTAAAAACTTCTGAAATGATGGGGACTCAATGATTTAATGTAATTTCAGGAGTAGCCTTGATTTTATTAGCTGAGGGACTGCAGGAAGAGGCCCTCCAAGGCAAGATTCATTTCTGCCTTCCATGAAAGGAGAAGGGAAACAAATGTTGGCTCTGTGAGATTCAGGCTATAACTTAATTCTTTATCTGTTTAGGGAAACAACCCACAATTCCTGCTTTTTTAGAGGAAAAAAAAAAAAGGAATTGAACTCAGGGCATCAGGCTTGTTGGTAAACTCTTTACCTCTGAACCATCTTCCCATCCTAAATGTAGAAGATGTTTTAAAGAAAAATCCAGCATCAAAAAGCCCCTAGTTCTCTTCGTAAGATGTTATCAGTAAAAACAGGCTGCAGGCTCTGCCCAGGCAAGCTCAGAAACCCAGCCTGAAAAGTGGCTTCATTCTAGCAAGCCTTCATATTGAGGAACAGGACTGTTTGCCCATGTTAAAACAAAAACAAACAGTGTTATCCATTATGGCATCTGATCCAGGCCAGTGCCCATCAGATCAATCAACCTCTTAAAAGTCTTTTTAGGATATTCAGCTACAGCCATGAATTAAAGATTCAAGGAGAGAAAAATGGTACACAGCTTCCACTGGTTAACACTAGGTTTATATCCAAAGTGTGAGGCTGCTGCCTCTTCTCCAAGAGGCCTGATAGGTTGGCACAAAATTTGTTTTAACCTTGGCTGCTCTGACAAAAGTGATTTAAAAAATTATTTATCTTTTTTTTAAATTTTTTGTGATTTTTTTTAAATGGCAAGTAAAAAGGGGAATGGCTTCAGTAGGAAGCTAATAGCTAAATCACACTTTGAAAGGACAACACAAATCCAGAATTTTCTATTTTCTGGTGCTATGTCTGATTATGTCCTAGAAGTGGCTTAGTGAAAGGTTTTACTAATCTGCCTACAGATATACTTCCAAGCCTCTGATCAACCACCCTGTCTCCATCTTAGGCTTGAAAACCATCTTATAGTAAAGACAAACTAGACTCATTTCTGTTTATTATTAAATCTGTTTCTCAAGGATTGGGCTGTGCCCCACCTGTAACCTTAACTACAAATGATTCTGTACTGCCTATTCCAGGAAATAATAACTGTGCTTTCATTTCAAAAAGTTGTTATGACCACGTTGCAACCATGTCTTTGTTCCGGGAGGTTGTTATGGCCAGCTTGTTATGCTTCTGCAACCTCACCTTTTTGCCTGCCAAATCCCCCGTTTGGAGACCCCCACGCCTTGGCTGTAAAAACCCTTATCTTACCCATGTCCAATGCTGTTGTCTTAGGCCCTGCCTTTAGAGAGAGACAGCCAGTATACACGAATTTTTTAAAAGTTTGCTTTATTTAGTTTGGCCATGATAATTTGGGTCGGTGGTCTTTTCCCTCAAATCTGTGGGATAAGCTTCTCTAAGCCACAAGTCCTGTGTTTGTGCAAGACTGTGGATGTGGTAAGGAGTGGTGGCCATAACCACTAGATTACTCTCTGATTCTTTAAATTCTTCAAAATTTTTGCAGGTTAGAGTTATGCCAAAAATTTGGGAGGCAGGGGCAGCAGTAGCCATGCAGGCCTTCCACTGTCAATGTAACACATGGACTTGAGAGTTCTGTCATTGACATCTTGAGTTCTCTGTTGTTGCTTTGAGACCGTCTCATGTAGCCCAGCTTGGCCACAAAGTCACTATACAGCATGAATATGGGCTTGAACTTCTGCTATCCCTGCCTCAGTCTCCTAAGCCTGTGGTTATAAGTGCATGTCACAGCCACACCTGGATGCCATCAGGAAACCCTTGTTATTATTTTTGTATTTGTGTCCTGTAAATGAAGTCTAATGGGACAATGGAATCTTGACTTTCTTGTGATCCCAACTCAGTTCTCTAGGATAAATTCCAGCTATCTAAGGGTAAATTCCAGCTATCTACCCCCTGTCTCCTGACACCTGGGCCCTGCCAGGTCTCCTTGCCTCCTGTATGATTGCTGCCACCCTCCACTTGGGGTAATGTCTTAGTTGAGGTTTTTTCTTGCTATGAAGAGATGCCACCACCACAGCAACTCTTACAAAGAGAACATTTAATTGAAGGGATGGCTTACGGTTTCAGAGGTTCATGACAGGGAACATGGCAGCATGCAGGCAGATGTGGAGCTGGCTAAATTTTGACCAGAAAGCAGCAGGAAGTCAACTGACTTACACTCTGACTGAAGCTTGATAAAGAGACCTCAAAGTCCGACAGTGACACACTTCCTCTTACAAGACCACACCTCCTAATAGTTCCACTCCCTTTGGCGACCATTTTCTTTCAAACCACCACAAGGGGTGACTGGGGTGTAACAGTGGAGGAGGTCTGTGGTCTGTAGCTGTTGTTTCTGGCAGGGATCTGGGCACAGTGTGGGGATGGGTTGGGATCGGATATGCTTCTATGGCATCAAAGATTAGGACAAGTGGGCAGCAATCCCTGTCCCAGGGTGGCAGTGCCACTGCACATTTGGCTGGTGACAAGGCTGTGCCTTACCCAAGTACAGAGTTGCCTGTGGGCTATGGACTGGGACTCTGGGAATGAGGTGACCGAGTGCTCATTCTAGATTTGGGCTCTGCGTCATCATTTTGCAACAGAACTTCTTGGTCAGTGATCAGTTTGAAAGACTAGGGGTGGGGAGTGGGGGAACAAAGGTTTCCTATTGAATCCAGCTTTTAAATACATCTAGCTTGGCACAAACAATGACGTTTCCCCGGTGCAGTGGAGCTAGAAAGTGGGGGATGGATGCAGAATGAGGGTGGGAAGAAAGACAGAAGTCCTGACCGACATGCTTCCAACCGTAGGATTGGGTACGAAGCCCCTCATGACAGCAAGGTGAAGGCCATGCGGCCTTCCAGCATAGGCTGACTTGATGCCCACAGAATATTTTTTGGCTCCATACCACACCTTCACAGTGTCCTGTTGGAAGAGTGATTTGTGGCAAGAGAGGAAGATGTAGGGACGGGACACTTGTGGCTGACATAAACCAGTGAGGAACAGGCCCAACAGAGTAAGTAGTGTGGGCTTAGTAGAACTAGCCTTCCTGGAGGACCGCCTGAGTCATGGCGGGCAGGGAAGAGAAAACGGGTCAGAACCTCTCAGGTGCGTACACTGAGGCACAGCAGGCAGGTAAACACACAGCAGTCTGCACCCAGGTCTCCTCAGACTATCAGAGAAGGAGCCAAGTGACCTTGCACTTCAGTGCAGGACAGAGGAATGAATTAGTGTTTCAGCTGGGAGCTCAACAGCGAGGGGAACAGCAGATATTCTCTGGCGAGGGTTGACTTAATTAGCCATTTTAATAATTCATGAGTCTGTAAAACGTGTGCCAGATCCAGAGCTCAGATTCTGCTTCTGGCCTTTAGCCCTGGGTTGTCTTTACCACAAATTGTGCTGCCTCACAGAACAGGCAGGAGGGAGCCTGGCAGTAAGAGGGTCTGGGTTTGGCCAGACCATGTCTAGTTCTTAACCCTTTGGGGTCCAAAACCTCTTTGAGAATCTAGGGGACGTTCTGAGCCCTTGCCCTAGGAAGATATGCATATATACTCACAATTCAGGGCTGGACAGTCTCCCCCAGATTCCCTTTCTTGAACCCTGACTTAAGGACCCTTGATTTAGATCATTTCTGACTCTATTTTTAACCCACCCACTAGCCAGGCTGTTAATCTGTCACTGCAATGCTGTGACTCTTTGGGTTTGCAGGCAACCAGTCTCATGTGGATGTCTGCAGAGAGAAACATACACAACGCGGTATTTGTTCATTAGGCTGAAGCAATGTGCGTGCAGAAAACAGAGCCGAAATGAATAGAAAGCCCTGAGTCAGCTCGCTCCCCGCCACCTGCTAAAGAGGCCGCCTGCTGAAACAGGGGTGGGGTGGGGAGCTGGAGTTTAACAGCCCGGGGACCCTGAATCTCAGCCTAAGTGCCTTCCAGCTGTGACTTGGAGGAGCATCTTAAACACCCAGAGCCTCAGTTTCCACATTTGTTGGGTGGGGGGGTTGCTAGTAGGATGTAGCCTGTGTCCGGATTTGGAGGACCAGGCTAGCTCAGTTCCGTAAAAGTGTCTGCTCTGAATTGTGAAATGGGTAAATTCCACAGCACTGCTTTGGTTTAATGCTGGGGAGGGGACAGGATAAGGAAGGGACTGGAAACTCTGGGCTGGAAGCCTGTCCCCTTCCTCACACCGAGGCTGAGGTCTGAAGGGATTGTAAGGTGCTGGGGCTACAGGATCATTCTGTCCTCACAGCCTTGATTTCTTCCCCTCCATATGGCTGAGGGGGGTGTGGGTGTGGAGGTATAAGAAACACTGGCTGCAAGCCCCGCTGCAGCAGAGAACACAGCAGAGAAGAAAAGCCTGCTAAAGAGCCAAAGAGCCAGGCTTCTCTTCTACTTCAAAATGGTTCAGGAGCTGGATGGGGAGGGGGATGCCCATGGTCTCCCCAGGGAAATGCAGAGCTGTCAAGTTGCCAAGCTCCTGCTCTCTTGGGGCCTCACAGTGCTGATGTGGAAACAGGACTACCTGGGGGACTGCATGGATGACAAATGTCCCCTCCTGTATAAGGTCTGGGACCATGAGGCCAAGGTGGTGGAGGGTGACTTGGTGCCAAGCCACTTGCGCTAGCTCTTATTCTCCTAGGAACACTCCAAGATAAACATTTATTATTCTTCGCTGCAGATGAGGAAACCTAGCTTCAGAGAAGCAGCTCAAAGGCAACAGCTATTTATGGGTTGCCAAGGGATCCACACCAGCTCAGGCTGTTTGCCTGTGATGTCTTTTTCTCCATCCCTACACTGGCTCAACTAGGTGGAGAGGGGAACCCTCACTAATCATAAGTCCCAGTCCTGGAAAGCCAGCTGCCTACAGTTCCGTGCACAGAGTCCCAGCTTGGTAAATATTTGTTCCGTGACTGAGACAGAGAGAGTACTCCTTTCTTGGTCCTGGGCAGTTCTTGGCAGTTCACAGGCACTGTTTACTTTTCCTCCCACATTCCCCCCTGAGGAATCATCACCCTCCACACACCCTTCCCTTCCCTTCAGTTTGCTCAACGGAAAACAAGGCAGAGTGGTAAGAAGCAAAGTGCCTGGCATATATAAAAACCTGACTCCAATCTGTCCCGTGTGGCCTCAGATAGCCTTCCAGACAGCAAGGACCTAGGGCAGAAAAATACCTTCACATCATTTGTTAGGTGGACACATAACAGGAATGGGTGCCTTGGGGGGTCTCCCAGCCCCACCCCTGAGGAAAATGGGTTTGCAAGAGGAAGGTATTTTGGATTTCCTGGGGAAGCTGCCATCCAATGGACTGAAAGTGGATCAGTAGGTAGTTCTGGAGCAGGGAGCAGGGAGGTTCGCCATGGCCCTGCTGAGGTGGAATCCTGTTGCTCTGGGAACTTGGTTAAGCTGTTCCCTAGTTGGTTTGCAGCTGGTGGTGCCACATAGAGAGAGTAAGACCTCCACCCACTTCCAGCTCCATTGATGTCGATGTGCCATGATTGTTTACATGAAGAGCTTTGTCATCTGCTTTCTCTATGAAATTCTAGCACAGTTCCTTATTTCCTAACTAAGGCCTAGGCCTCTTTTTTTTTTCTTTCTTTCTTTTTTTTTGCTTGTTGGTTGGGTATACCAAGTTCCCCTGGGGTCAGCTTTTTTTTTAATTTTTTTTTTAAGATTTGTTTTTATTTCATGCATGTGTGTCTGAGTAACGGTGCCAGATCCACTGGAACTGGAGTTACAGACAGTTGTGAGCTGCCATGTGGGTGCTGGGAATTGAACTCAGGACCTCCAGAAGAGCAGCCAGTGCTCTTAACTGCTGAGCCATCTCTCCAACCCCGGGGTCAACTTTTTATTTTATTGCCGTTTGAAGAGCATCTGAGCATGTGTTTAGAATTTACATCTAAAATAATAGATTTCTGGGTGGAAACAGCGTGGATTATTACTTACATTTGGTAAAGTCCCCTTGGATAAGAAGAACGTGCTGGCATAGTATTAATTTTCCTTGCTGTCACTTGACAATATGAATTGGTTTTGTGTACGAACCTGGGGCTCATTGGATTGAATTTAGGAAACTGGTAAAAACAAATTTGTCTTCAGTGGGTTTGAATAATCATTCAAATTAATAATAAACACACACAGGCTGAAAGGTTAATTCATCATTGCTTTCAGTTCCGTTTATTCAGAACTCCTTCATCATGGGCATAAACAGCCTTTATTAAAGATTATGAATCCAATTTCCAAATGAGCTATAAATGGCTTTCTATTGAGAGATTCCTTGATTTGTTGTTTTCTTGAATAAAACATGGTTTTGCCCTGTGGGTTATGGAGCCCATATACTAATATTGGGAGATTACTCTGTTGTGCCTGGCATCTGCGATATGCAATGTTGGATTTGTTCTCTGATCTATCTTTGTTCTCTTTAATAAACACTGAGACCGAAATCATAACCTCTTAAGACCTACACTCCAGTGGATCATAGAAGGATGTCTGTCAGAATGGCAGTTTATCACTGGGATGATAATTCTGGCTCCCTTTAAAAACAGACTGCGGTGAGCGGTTTGAGAGATGCTGTGGTTACTGTGGGCAATCATAACTGACCTCCACTTTGGTTGCATAGTAACAGACTGACAGGGCATTAGATCATTGCACACTGCTCAACTACCAATATTCTGCCCTCTCAGGTGGAGGTGGAGGGGAGGACTCTACATTTTCAATTTAGAAAATTACCTAGAGCAGAGAGAGGCAGCCTGCGGGAGAGCTGTGCCCCCAGTACTTCCCCGAGTGCTGCACTGCACAAATGCAGATGCTGCAGAGGGTGTCGGTGCCTGGGTGGGTGTTTCGAGTGCTGGGGCTAGGAAGGTCCTAGGGAGGCCGTTTCTCAATCCCCTCAAGGCCGGTCAGTATACTTCAATGTTTTGAAGCTGTTGTCTGAAGGGCTAGAAAAGTTAATGTCTGAAGAAATCCTACCTCTCTCTGGGAAAGTTCCTTTTGTGTTGCTATCTTATCATCACTGAATGTCAGTTTCAGAAGAAGGGAGTCCCTGCTGCCAATGACAATACCCTGTCCCGTCTATGCTGTTACAACCTTCAAATTTTAAAATTTATTTCAATATTTTAAACTAGTTTTCTTTCTTCCTCCAAAGGATCTCCTTATATAGCCCTGGCTGACCTAGAACTGGCTATGTAGACCAGGCTGGCTACAACCTTCAGGTCATTACCTTCTCTCAGCCTCCTGGAGAGCTGGGATTGCCAGCTTGTGCCACCCCCCAGTCCCCAGCTAGTTCAAAGGACTTAAAGTAGTCTCCAACAAAAGGCCTCGGATTCCAAATTAAATTGAGCCATAGCCTGACCTTTGAAGTTTATTGTCATCAGGGTTTTAAGTTGCTTCAATAATCCTGTAGGAAAATACAGTTAAAGTATATACTCTTGAATGTGTTCTGGCTCAGGAATGAGTCAGCCTAGACTAGTACAAGACATCAAGTCAAGCTAATGTCTTAAGGGGGCTGGCCCCCTTGACGCAGAGGGTGAGGGAGGCCTGGAGACTGTCTGGCATACATTTAAGTCTTCTCTTTAAACCCCAGACTCCTCCTCTTTTCTTAAACCCCCAAGGAATTCAAGTTTATCATTGCTCTCTTCTGTGGAAAGTAATTCTCTTCCTTCCAAGATGTTTCAGATAACCTTCCTTCTGATCACATCAATAGCCAGGTATTACACTGGATCCGTTACATGGACGTCAGGAGAACAGAACCTTCCAATACCAATATACTGGCTACTTAACCCGGAGGCTGGGTTAAGTCATGTTTTATTCAAGAAAACAACTCAAGGGATCTCTCTATAGAGGAGCATTTACTGCTCAATTGCAAATTGGAATCGTAATCTATTCTTTTTCTTTTGGAGACAGGGTTCCTGCCTGGACCCAGACTCCTACTTATATAACCCAGGCTAGCCTTGAAGTCTTGATTCTTCTGCCTCAGCTGGGGATTTAGGTGTGTGCTACCTTCCCCTGCTTCCATCTATGATCTTTAATAAAGCCTGGCTTTACCTTTGTCTGGATGGAAGGTTCTGGTTGTCTTGTTTGTCTTTATATGTTGTAGGTGTCCACTCCTTTTTGCATATAGTATATATAAGAATACTCAGCTTTTCTGTTCACCGATAGCTTATTAATACATATATAAATGTGATATAACATATAATAGCTTATTTTAGTGGGATCTACAAATTTTGCGTGAAATCCAGCAGTAAGACTACTTTTTCAAACCTGCATGTAAGTGTACTATCTGCATGCAGTGGCCACAGAGGCCAGAAGAAGACATTGGATCTCCAGGGACTGGAGTAATAGATGGCTGTGAGCTGCTATGTGAATGTCGTGAACCAAACCTGGGTCCTTTGCAAGAGCAACAAGTGCTCTTAGCTGCTGGGCCATCTTTCCGGCCACCAATCCACACACCAAAACAAACTGCCAAACAAATGAAAAACCCTGAATTTAAATCTTGCCCTTCCAAGTTTTAGACTACCAACACACACACAAACACACACACAAGCTTGCATGCATTTTTATGCTCTGAATTCCTAAATCTTATGTGGTACCTTGAATTATATTCTAGTTTTGTACCTGTAGACTTTTGCATTTACATTTAGAATAAGAACGTCTACTTGTATTCTCTCTCTCTCTCTCTCTCTCTCTCTCTCTCTCTCTCTCTCTCTCTCTTTCTCTCACTC